GGAGAGAGAGAGAGAGAGAGAGAAGAAAAACAGTAAGCACACCTCAGTATCTAAATGACACCGAGCAAGGGCTTCTGATAGCCGGATGAGGGCCTCAAGTTGCCTTACGGTCATGCGATAAGCAACTCGACTACCTGGGGTCACGTCCCCTCTTCTTAAAGTAACATAAGATTCCACCAACAGATTTTTTGCTTCAGGATTCAGCTAAGCACATAGCAAATGAAGTTCGTTCAAGCAACAAACCATTTTACGCATATATAATACTATCAAAATTAACATTTCCAGGGGGGGCTATTATAAAACCTTTGGTTTCAGAGTCTTTGCGTATGATATGTAGCGCTTCACTTGTGCGGTTGTAAATGTAGGAGAAAGCGCTTCTTCACGCTTTTGGTGAACCCTCACGATATGATGAGCTATATGGTAATCAGTTTGATCATCTGGGTCGTCAATCATCACATACACGAGGTCAAACCTTGAGAGGATGGCTGGAGGAAGAGCCACATTGTACTGTAGAAACATAAAATACGAAAACCAGATATGAACATGGGAAATTACAAGCAGTCTACTAAATAAGACTTTCAAATTTCACTAGACGAATGGCAATGTTCTCACCTTCAAGGGTTTAGTCTTGTCATAGCGCCCTCCTGTAGGATTTGCAGCGGCTAATATCGATGTCCGAGCATTCAGTGTCGCCTGTATTCCAGCTTTGGTTATGCTTATTGTTTGCTGTTCCATAGCTTCATGAATGGCAACCTTCCAATACATGCAAATCCAAACATAAGTTGTGAAGTTTGGTCATCAAGTGGATGGGTGGGTGGTGAGAGTAGTTATATTGTTGCAAAGTTGGAATTACCTGATCTCTTGGATCCATCTTGTCAAATTCATCAATACAACAGATGCCATTGTCAGCAAGCATAAGTGCACCAGCCTGAGAGATATAAACAAAAACTTGTATAGTGGAACTAACATATATAAATCGGTAGTCCAAACAGGAAAAATAAATTTTGTCTGGAATGAAGCTGAAAAACTTAAGCTCATATTTATTATTTAACTGGAGAGGAAAGAAATTCTAAATTTGGCACTTGGCAGTGAAATTTACTTTGGTTCATGAAGGATAACTTTACTAATTGAAGGTGAATAAAGCATAAGTAAATCTGAGGCTCGTGAGTTCAGTCAGATTTGGATCAAAATTTCAGATGAACAAGCCAATCCAAAAGAACCTAAAATCTCCAAAAGAAAATGAAACTGAAACATTACCTCAATGCAAAATTCACCAGTCTCTGGTTCTTTGGCAACAGTTGCAGTGAGCCCAGCAGCTGATGAAGATTTTCCTGATGTATAGACAGATCTTGGAACAAGGCCTGATGTATACCTGCAAGAGAACTGTAATTGTAAGACTTGGCAGGTTAATGGAACATGCGTTGGGGCTCTATCAGCCTGAACAATTCACATACTTGAGAAACTGGGACTTTGCACAACTAGGATCTCCCACAATACAAACATTGATGTCTCCCCTTAAATTGATGCCTTCGTGTGTAAATTTATGGACACCACCCATCAGCATGAGAATAATGGCACGTTTGATATCTTGGTGACCGAAAACAGTTGGTGCAATGCTGTCAACAAGCTTGTTGAAGAAGTCGGGAGTGTTTCTCATTCGTTGGATTTCATCCAACTCTTTTGGCTGCCAAATCATTCAATAGAAAAACGGTAACTTGAGTTTAGTGTGTAAACAAAAGGGCCATCACAGCAAAATATCAGTGGACATAGAAGCAAGTCAGCATGAATCAAAGGTAGGAATTACTTCATTTTTGGGACATTCTATGTTTTTACAGTCAACCATGCAAACTTTCTTGGAACTTGTAATAAAGACAGAGACTATGGATTAACAATAAGAGGAGTTGCATTCAATCAGTGACTAATAGTTTACAGAAACACAGAAATAACCAAAACTAAGAGAATTCTTGAATTGAAGTATTTACAGTGAATTGTTGGCTATCATTATCATCAGCATCTCTCCTGTTTCGGATGTCAGTGTCCCTTCTGCCATCACACACCTAAAATGGGATAAAAGAAAATACAAATAAATAATAACTCAAAAGTAAAAAGAAAGAAACACTGAGCTTACAACAGAACTGAACTTCAAGCACACAATGAAATTCAAATACTACAGACATGTGCCTGCAGTCAATTACACGAGTACAAGAAACAATCACGAAAGGGTACCACCAACCTGAACTGAATTGGCTATAAAGGCCAGACGATATGATAAGTCTCTCACACCCAGTGCCCGAAGTCCCTTGACACCTTCCTGACCAGCCATCCCATTTTTGCGAGAAGATTCTCTTCGAGACTCTGCTCTCTCCCCTGGAGAGGCCAATGCTAGAATATCGGGTAAAACAACCACAGTGCCAGTAAATACGACCCTGCAGCAATATTACAATCCAAATAAATGTGTTAATAGTAAATCTACCAAATCAAAAGGGTTCACGAAGGACTGAATTTGCACATACGTGTCACCGGCCCTGGCTTGTTCAACAATGTCATGACGTAGAATGACATCAAGTGATCTGGGAAGTGAACCTGGAGGGATTTCCTTTGATGCCTCCTGCACCCGGACTCTCTGCCAGTCTGTGAATTTGCTCTCTTGTCTCAACAATGCCCAATTTGTCCTGTTTTGGCATGTGGCATTCATGCAGATAATTGGCTGCAAGTCAAGATTCACACAAACGAAGCCAGTCAAATGAGTTTCTCAAACCTTAATTATATAGCATACCAATTTGAATTCATATGGCATTGAGAATTTCGGATTCCAGAAAAGAAACAAAAAATAGTAGTATTTCTCTAACATTAAACACCTAGTGTCCCAGTAATTCAAATTTCATTCTTTATGTATGAATGTACATTCTGGTTAATTTTTCAATTTTTATTCTTTAAACTATGAAGTGCAACATACCCATTAATCATTACGTTTGATTAAACATTAAAAATGCTACACCAAGGTCAATACATACGAGCATAGATCGAGGCAGATTAAATAAATTTACCTCAGTGTACTTGAACTGCTGCTCAACGTTCTTAATGACGTTACCACAATCCAAGCACTTAAATGTTCCGTGCAGAAGCTCTGGCCGGACCTCACTGGTGCGGGTGACCACGCCGCTCACTGAGACTAGCTTCCCGATCTCGGCGGTGGTCAGCTCCCTCAGCTTCCGGACCACGGGGAGGTTGTAGAAGGCGACGTTGATGTCCTTGTTCGGGCTGTCGTCGGGGATGAAGGTGGGCTTGAGCTCCATGACGTACCTCTTGCAGGCGTTCCTCAGGTAGGGCTCGAAGCGGATGAACTCGTCGGAGATGGCCCTCTGGAGGACGTCGTTGAAGCGCATCACGTGGGAGAAGTCGACGAACATGGTGTTTGACTCGTTAGGCCTCATCGCCATCACCTCGGCCTCGTAGTATGGGCCGTAGCTTCTGCCGGCGCCGTTGATCTCGCCGGTCTCTATGAAGGTCTTGAGGAACTCGAGGAAGATGTTCTCCACACGCACCGCCTTCTCGTCCACGGTGAAACCGCCGCCGTTGGTGTCCATTTCCGGGCCGGAATTCTCTGGATTCGGATTTGTGTTTGATAGTTTGCGTTAATTTTGGCAGCAGAATTCGAAGGGGGCTTAGGGTTGTAAAATGCGTAGCACTTGGCGGGAAACGGTCGGGTCAATTCCCGCCAAAAGGTAAGAAATTATAATTGGGCCACTAACTAAGCCCAAAAACTGTAGTTCTTATTGGGTTCAACTTCAACTAGTGCTTTAAATGGTTTCGACTTTATTTTGGGCCTTCACCAAGTCCTCTATTCGCCATTTTCCCGACAAATATCAGCCCATTAAATTAATAATAAGAAAATTTTAATTTCACAATCATTTATTGTCTAAACTCTACCATGCTAAAAGTAATTTTCTTATACATAAACTTACGTGAAAATCTTTTACTTTACAAAGCAACACAAAACCATCTTTTTTTGAATGTTTTTAAGTGTATAAAATCAAGTATACATTTTAGTTCAAAAGGCAAATAAATTAAAGATATATGATATATTTTTGGGCATCATGATAAACTTTACGCGAACGATCATTTTGACTCATCTACGCACAAACTAAACTAAGAACGAAATTACCGACAATCACAAATTCAGGATAAAATCACGGTTCGTGTAGATTTTTGCGGTCAACTAGCCTAAGTCATACACATCACACATAAAGCAAATGTAGTTACTTGCTATATATGTTTAGGGGGAAGAAGTGAAGAAGTGAAAAAGCTACTTCAAAGTAACATAGACTTCATTTTAAAACTCAATCAATATTTTTGTACCCTTTT